TTTAGCCATTTTCAGTATTGTCTCTTTGTTTGTATGTTTAATGTTTTTACTATGATGTTCCATGGAGAGTTTCTTTTCTGGTCCTGTCTGTTTGGTGTTCTATATGCTTCTTATATTTGTATGGGCATGTCTTTCTTTCATTTTGGAAAATTTTCTTCTATGATTGTGTTGAGGATCTGGTCCTTGCCATTATCTTGGAATTCTTCTCCTTCCTGTATGCCTATGATTGGTAAGTTTGGACTTTTTGTGGTGTCACACAATTCCTGCATATTCCATTCTTGTTATTTCTTAAATTTTTCATAATCTTTGTTTTAGTGGTCTAGTTCGTCCACTTTATCTTCCAGTCTTGATACTCATTCATCCTGTTGGTGAGGCTTTCTCTTGTCATTTGTAATTGGATTACTGAATGTTGTATTTCCTTCTTCATTTCAGCCTGAGTATTCTCCAATATTTCTAACTCTTCTCTGAATTCATTCATTAGTTTATCCCTATCTTCCTTCAGTTTTATGATTTCTTTGTGTGTTCTTTAAATTCACTGAATTCTTTTGTCATATTTTTAATTGTTCTTTTGAGTTCCATGTCCTATATTATCTCTAGGGGGTTTTCATTGTACTCCTCTAGAGGACTATTGGTATTTGGTGGGGACATGTTTTTTTGGTTTTTCATGTTATTTTTTTTTTTCTGTGATTTTTGCTTGTTAATTTTTTTTTTTTTTTTTTTTTTTTTCTGAATCTTGTGTGAGACTCAAGTCTTCAAGTTTAGGTCTGCTTCTTTTTGTAAACTTTATGTGTTTGTGGTTTACTTTTTCAACATGAAAAGCTGGTTTGTCTAAGCTTCCAGTTCTCTCTTTTGATTTTATATTGGAGTGGCCAGATTGCTTTTGTCTTCAGGAGTTCCCACAGAGGCCCAAGTCAGATGAGGATCAGATGCTCTCAGGCTTTTTCCTAAGGTCTGGATCCCTCCAGCAAAGATTTTGGCCTCAGGAATTTGGGGGTTGGACTGGCCTGTGAGCCTGGCCCAGAAACGATGTTGGCCTGTGGCTGCTGTTGGCCTGCCACCCTGAGATGCAAAGGAAGATGGGGGCAGGAAGTGGCCCCAAGGGCTCCTGGGGACTGTACTGAGGAGCTGGTTTGGTCTGGATGCAAAGGATTAGGAAGAAGAAAGGTCAGCCCTTGGGTCCAGAAAAGAGGCCTGTGGGTTGTGCAGGCCCAGGGAAGCAGTGGTAGGTGAGGGCCGGGCCAGGCCGGAGTGCTCCTGGGAACCAAAGAAGGAACTGGGTTGGTCTGGATGCAAAGGATCAGGAAGCAATGGTGGTTCCCCAGGTGTCTGGGGCACCAAGACAAGGAATGGGACAGGACCCAGGCTAGGAGGAGAGATGGGTGGGGAAGGTGGGAGCATGAAGGAGGTTGGGGGAGTCAAGGCTTGGAGGGCAGGACAGACCCACCCTGGAGAGGGGCCTGAGGGTTGGAGAGAGCTTTTCTTTCTTTTTGAAAAATATTTTATTATTTGTATTTTATGTGCATGAGTGGATTTCCTGCATGTGTGTAAATGTATCAGATGCCCTGTAACTGGAGTTACAGACAGGTGTTAGCCACCATGTGGGTGCTAGAAATCTATCCTGGGTCCTCCACAAGAGCAGCCAGTGCTATTAACTGCTGAGCCATCTCTCTACCCCTGTTTGTTTTTTTTTGTTGTTGTTGTTTTGTTTCTTTTCGAGACAGTGTCTTACTTGCTAGGGTGTCTGGCAGTGAGCCTCAGGGATCTATTTGCCCTCTTCTTAGGCGTTACAAGAGCAGTCAATCATACTTGACTCTTAACATGTATTCTGGGAATTTAACTCACCAACTGAGCTACCTCTCTAGTCCATCACTTATTATTTTGATGTAACTACCTACTCAAGTTTATCCATGAAAAGGTTTCTGCTGTATCACAGAGATATGTTAATATTTAATTTTTATATTTAATTAATGTATACTATTTGTACATATGTATGGGCTATAACAAGATATTTCAATACATGTTTGCAATCCATTACAATCAGATTGGCATATCCATCATCGTGAGCACATATCATTCCTTGGTCTTGGGTATATTCAACATCCTCTTTACCTGCTAATTTAAGTATAGAATTGATTTTTGTCAATCATATTTACCCTATTGTGATAGGGTAAATATGTCAATCATATTTACCCTATTACAGCATTATAAGTTATTACTCTTATCTGCTGTGCTCTACCCATTAACTATGTTCTCTCTATCCTTCCTCAATCACCGTATGCTAATCATTGGTCTACTCTCTTCTTCTCTGAGACAAATAGTTAATAATTTTGGGCATTTTCCACATTTCTGCTATTCTTCCAAATGTGATAAGGATATATCTTACTAAGTCCTCCTTATTAAGTTCTCATAAGGATGTTCTCTTATCATTCTCCCCTTATGAGGCAACCAGAGCATGGAGTGTTTGATTGACATACCCAAAGTCACAAAAAAACAAAACACAGCTTTTGACCAACTTGATACTACAATACAGCTCCCATTTGTTCCTATTGTGTTTATTTCAATTATATTTCTTTTCTATTAAAGATGCTTATATTTAATTCAGAGTAGTTAACTGAGGTCAATATTTCAAATACATGCCTTGGTACCACACCAGAAAAGTTAGGCATTATATACTATGGATAAATTAAGTATGATATGAAACTCAGTTGACAAGTATTTATTGGGTTGGCAAGATGGCTCAGTAAAAGTGTGAGGCCCTGAGTTTGAAACGCAGATGTGTAGCCTGTACTTACAGCACTCCCACAGGGAACTGGGAAATAGAGACAGGGAAATACCTAGAAGTTCATCAGCCAGCTAGCTTAGCCTACACAGTCAGGAACAGTAAAGAGACCATGTTTTAAACATGGTGGAAGGCGAGAACTGGCACCAGAAGTCATCCTCTGACCTTCACACATGCGTCATAGCACATGTGCATCCCTCAATAAATTTTATTTTATTTTTGTTTTTTGTTTTTTTTTTTTGATACAGAGTCTCCCTTTAGCCCCAGGTGGCTTGGAATTCCCTATGTAGACCAGGCTGGCTTCAATCTCAGAGAGATCTGTCTGCCTCTACTTCCAGAATGTGGGATTAAAGACATGCTTTACCATGCCCACCCCAAATGAATGCTTTTTTAAAAATCACTATGACACTCTAGACACAAGCTGTTAACTTCTAGATATTCCTGAATATTCACATCTTTGTGAATGTAGTAAAGAGATAAACAGTAAGGGATAAAGCAGAATTGTCCAGAGCCTTCTCCTGTGTGGACTGTGCCATTTAGAGCATGAGTTTCCTATTCTCTTGAATGTTAATGTTGTCTTCCTCAGAACTGACTTGCTTCCAGCAAATAAATTCTAAATAGTCCAGGCCCTAGACAAGGTTTCAGGAGAGTGAAGTCACTTAAAACATCAGCTATCAAAGCTCCAAATTGAAAAAACACAAAGGTGTGTGTGTATGTGTGTGTGTGTGTGTGTGTGTGTGTGTGTGTGTGTGTGTGTGTGTGTGTGTGTGTGTGTGTAGGCATGTCTGCTAACTAGATGTCATTAAGTAAATTGCCATTTGTCTTTCTTGAAGCATAGTCCAAATGCCTGTCTTGAGAACACTTGAAGGATGAATTTTTCTTTCAAGGTGATTGAAAGCAAGTTTGAATGAACTGATTCTTTAATGTTTTTAAAAGATATTTAATTATTTTTATTTTATGTGTATGAGTGTTTTGCATGCATGTATGTAAGTGCACCACATATGTGCAATGCCCGCAAGGCAAGAAAAGGATGCTGGATTTCCCTGGAACCGGAATTGTGACAGTTGTAGTTGCCATGTGGGTGCTGGGAATCCAACCCAGATTCTCTGGAAGAACAGCCAAATGTTCTTAAGCACTGAATTATCTCTTCAGCCCCATGCACTGATGCTTTAAAGGTAAAAAATGTTTGCCAGGAATGGTGCTCCATGTTTTTAGATACAGCACTTGGGAGGTAGAGGCAGGTGGATCTCTGTGAGCCTCCAGGTAGCCTGGTCTCCATGGTGAGTTCCAGGCCAACTGAACTCCACGAAATTCCTGGTGTACTGCTAATGATACAGCCAGAAAGAAGGTGAATCCTTGTGTTCATCAGTTTTGATAACATTTCCATGATTCTTCTTGCCGTAGACAATCTATAGGTGAGTTCTTCTGAGACTTCCTCAAATGAATTCTGAAATTCACTCAAGGGCAGAAGTCATACAAAAAATGAACTCATCCAGACATTAAAGATCCTTACACCTACAAATTATACTTGTTCTTTGCTCATTAGAATCAGTCACAATCAGACTGTATCATTTATAAACCTACAGCTGGCCAGCTTCTTCTGACCACAAGTTTGTCTTCCCGTAGATGCTATAGGTTGCCAAGCATTCAGCCAGTAACAGGTCAGAGATTCACAAGGGTGTTTACCCTGTGTGCCTGGGTGCTTTCAGTGGACCACGCAACTGCAACTGGTTTTACCTGACCTGGGATCCTGTTTAACGAAATAAACAGGTGAAAAATATGGCCAAGATGAAGAGATTATATGCATATTTGGGAACAAGGTTTTAAGTACATGTATTCTCACGGCACCATTAAAGTTAGAAGGGCAAACACACGTTTCAAAGGCTGTGTTTCCCTGAGGTATTCTTATAAATTCAGTTCTTTGGAGAACAGGATTGAAAGTGGAGTGGGAAGAACTTTCCCAGCCAGGTCTGGAGGCTTCTGAGCCTCCAGGGTCAGTTCCTTCTCTCGGTTTCCACAGACCTTGGTGGGTGTTCGGCTCTGGCGAGGAGCCTGCATCAGGCCTGTCCAGCTCTGGCCTCCTGACCCAGAGAGCTCCCAAGAGCACTGCCAAGCCTGGGTCGCGCCGCACCCAGACGCGGGTGCCCTCTGCCAAGAGTTCAAGGCCACCCTAATCCGGATATGATGAAAAGGAGCCACAGAGAGAGGTGTTTGAGGAGTGTAGGAGTGGCGAGAGGGGGAAAGAGAGGCACGCGGGGGCCCAAAGTCCTTCAGGAGTGAAGCTGGCCGGAGTGAGCTGGCTGGAGTGAGGGGGCGGAGTGCAGGGCTGAGCTGGCGCTGTCACAGTCCCGGCCACTGAAGCATCTGGGCTGAGCCCTGGGAGGCGGGCGGGACGTGCGGGGGCCGCCGCGGTCGTCAGGCCACCCGGCGCGATGGGGCCGTGCCCGCAGCCCCGCTGACTTGGCCGGCGGAAGAGGAGGACCGGGCTCGGAGCGGCCCAGTAGGGGGATGCCCAGGTAGGTGGAGGTTGCGGGGCTGGAAGGGCTTGGGGTCCCATCCCAGGCCGATCGCTCCGCTTCGGCGATCCCCGCGCGTCCCCTCCGGGCTCCCCTCCCGTCCGCTCCGCCCGGCGCCCAGCTCGCACGGTTCTCCTTTCTGCTTTCAAATCCAAACTTCCCCGGGGTGGAGTTGGAGGAGGGACGCCGAGGGGGAGGGAATGGCCCGCCGCGGTGGCGTGCTCCTCTCTGAAAACAGTTTGTCCTGCTTTTCCTTTTGCTTTTCCCGCCAGAAGCCGTCAGTTTCCTACACCCAACACCTAAGCAGCGGGGGTCCGAGCGCCCCGCGGGTGGCGGCAGGCGGCGCGGGCTGGAGAGCGGCCCATGTCCGGCGCGGGCGAAGCGCTTGCTCCCGGGCCCGCGGGGCCGCAGCGCGCGGAGGAGGCGGGCGGCGGCCGGCCGGGAGTCCCGGGCCATGGTGAGTGAGGCTTGCGAGTTGCGAGCTTCTTTAGTAAGGTTGCATTGGGGAATTTGCTCCATCTTCGGACTGGGGGAGTTAGTGGTGGTGGTGGTGCTTGGAGGACCGAGTCCCACCTGGTAGTTGTGAACTTTTGCTCACTTTGCGTTACTCAAGCAAGTTTGCCCAAGGATCCCTGCCCCAGATCAACAACCGGATAGGAGGGCGGGATCCGCGGGGCGCTCCACTCCCCCTTCCTCTGGTTGTGAGAAACAAGACTAACTGGATGGCTTCCTCCTCCTGGCTGTGTGGTTCTGGGCTTGTGACCCAGAGGTGTGGGGTCCGCCGGGCTCTCTAGGTCTCTTAAGTTCTGTCTCTTCTCACTGGGCGGGCTGTCTCTGCTCTCTGAATAAGCATGTGCTCTCCCATCTTTCTGGTTCTTGAGGAGTATTCTGTATCAGGTGGATCTTGGAGGTTTCTGAGATCAGGTTTCTGCGATCAGTTGCTTTTGGAATGGCCCCTGCATATGTTTTCAATAGCTTTTGTTTTGAAATAAACACGTTTTAAAAGAAATACATTTCAAGAAGAGTTAGCTCTTTTATGTTCTTCCAACTGTGAAACAACATTTTTATCTGGGGAATTTACAGGACAAGCTTGTTAGATAGTTGGACAGTATCTTGAAGGTAGTAAATCTCAGCCGTTCATTGATGGCAGAGCCAGGGTCTTACATTTCAATGAGAAGAGTTCGGAATGATAGGCACTAGATAACTTTCTAGGGCTCAAAAACCCACTGCCTACCCGTGATTTTAAGCATATCGAAAATCTGTCTTCCCCCTCAAAATATATTGAGTTTCTTGATTTTTTCTTTCTTTTTTTTTTTTTTTTTTTTTTAAACAGGCTTCAGGGAATCCAGGGAAACCAGTGGGAGCCACATAACGCTGGGGTCTTTGTTGTTTCTATTCCTTATGGAGGAAAGGGACGGCAGCAAGAAAATGGTAAAGAAGTTAATGTTCTAACCACAGTAGATAAAAGCAGAAAACATCCATGCTTAAATTGAAATGTTCTGGCATCCGGGCCTGTTAAATTGAATTATGTTTATCATTTTGTTTAAAAGAGTGACTCATTTCTTTTCCTAAGCAGAGAAATACAAACGATTAGCTGCACAAAAGCGAAGAACTAGAATGATAAACATATGTTTTCCCAGAAGCAGCCGGTGTTCCACACATTGTATTGTCAACACAATCATTTTCCTGTCATTAGGCTTGCCCTTGGTAGTCATATCGACTCATTGATGGGCTGTTTATACTCCCACTTGAGCTGTTAATCACTATTGTGAAACAATGCTTATGTCAAAAATCAGCATCAGACACCCAAGGAAAACCATTTGATTTGGAAATAGCGAATATGAACAATATTCAGCGTTAATAGTATGTAGTTTGAAAATCAGCTGGAAGAATGTGCAGTGATGCTTGACGCACCTGCGCAGTACAAAGCTGCTGGGCATCACGTGATGCGAGAAGACGCAGCAGCGCTTCTGAAAGGGCCTGAAGTTGAATGCTGGCTACATGTAACACATTTTAGAGCTGTGTAAAATCTGGCCAGTGTTGTAACTGAAAATTACCTTAGCTTCATTACTTCAAAAAATTTTAACTTTCACGTAACTTTCTTTGGATAGGAATCATTTTAATTATATGTGAAATATGAAGTTAATTTTTAAAAAAGAAAACCTTCAGGATCTTGTTAAAATATTGCCTTCCAAACAGGTAGATTACATAAAGTGTATTGAAAGTGTATTTAATTAAAAACTTTTTAAAATAAAAAGGAAAATGCTTCAAGAGATACCTTCCCAATATCAGGTTGGTTTTATCAGGACACAGCTGTAAGGAGTTTTTCTTTAAGCCATTCTACTCTTAAACCCTCCCCTATTGGACAGGCACTAGTCTTTAATCCCAGCACTCTGGGGGTAGAGGGTGGTGGATCTCTGTGAGACTGAGGCCAGCCTGGTCTACATAGGGAGCTCCAGGCTAGCTGGGGCTACATAGTGAGACTCTGTCTCAAAAATCCCCAACAACAACAAAAAAAATCCCAGAGAAACAAAAACCAACTCCTCATCCTCAAATTCTTAAATCTTCTGCCCCTGTCCTTGGGTTCTTTATCATTCTTTCTGCTGGAGAACAAAATACACCTTTGAAACACAGTAAGACATTGCTACTTAGTGGAAACTAAATTTTAAAATTCTTTAATGTTAGTCACTAATGTTTTAGGGAAGTTAACAGAAGATGACATTTGTGCAGAAATATATGAATAAGTGTTCTGCAAAGTTAAGCATATGTATTATTTTTACAGTATGTACATATATGTGACACCATATATATATTAGTGTGTACAAAGTGAGCTATCAATATGTTAACCAAAGGTATAGCACCTTAAAATTGGCAGTAATTTTAGGGCTCTTTATTAGCTTGAACTCTCCAATCAAATTTTGGAATCAATTCTAGATCACATTAGGTAGTTTTAGAAATCATAATGTATCCCATTGCATTTTTCAACACTGAGTTAGAAAGGTTTTCTGTATTGAGATAGCCAAAAATGTTTGCCTTTCTCTTATGATTCTGTGAGCTGTTCTACTGCTTTGAAAGTGTTACAGAATTATAGATAGTGGAACTACTTCTTGTGTGCTTTGAAAATTGTTCCAGAGGAAGGACATGAGTTCATATTGCTGTAAAGAAGAACCAGGACAGGTATCAGACAATAAGCTTGAGTGGAATTCCAGGGACCTGGAGAACTCATAGGCCAGAAGGCAGCACTGCTTAAGGTCCAGGGTTGACATCTTTTGATGTTTCAGGAGTGGTGGAAATCTATATGTTAATGTACCATGTCATCACTTTATGGTAACAAATTAAGTACAGTTTTATGTCCAGGCCACAGAAAACAACAACACCTGTAGACTGGATGTGACCTCTGAGTCACTGATTTGCTAATCTTCTTTTGAAAATAGAAATTAAACCCATGATTTAAAACAATTTCCCTGTTTATGGCCAACTTCTTAAATATGGAGTATGGTCTCATGTCATGTTCCTTTATAGAATGCCTTGATAAGTGAATGGCAACTTGGGCCCTTCTTGTTTGTTTTAAGAGGGAATAGGTTTGTGTATGTGATTCTTCAAATTGTCATTTTGTTTTCTTTTTTGATTAAGCATATAAAAGTTCTTTGTGTTATGAAACAAGATTGAAAACTGATTCTTAGTGCAATAGTTATAAGAATCCATATAATTGAAAGAGCCTTTTAATTAAATGCTTCATTCAAAAAATTTTGATCTATAAGTAGCGTACTCTTTAGAAGCGATTTATTTCAACCTGTTCATTTTTAGATGGAGGAAAAGACTTGCAAAGAATTTAAGTGGCTTGCCCAAGGTCCCCCACACAGCGATTAACAAGAAATCAGGTGGCGCACAAATTGTAAAATATATGTCATTGTGATAAATGTGGTTGATGTAGAGAATCAATACAACCTTTTCACACAGGGTAGATGCATTGAAGTTAATAGACTCTAGATATTGTGAATCGCTGGAGCCTGTTTCCATCCCAGCCCCCAAATCATTGCACTTGCCAAGATGTGGACTGTTGGACTCAGTGCTGGAGTATACTTTAATGTGATAATGTGTGATTTAATGTATTCTTCTCTCTAGGGAGAGTCCTCTGAGACTATTAGGCGGAGTTTTCATAGTAGGATGCAAATGCCAGTTAAGTTAATTAAAAATAATCTAAAATAGAAGCAAGGGAGAGGATCTTCAAGTTGAAATTGCATAAGAAGAACTTTGACTTAGAAGCTTAGCTGAGTTGTCAGGAGTTTATAGGGCTAATCAGATTTTCTTTGGGGGAAGTCTGTTTATTTCAATTTATAAAATATATGCTTGTTCATGTCTGTATTTTTCTACCCTTGTCATATTTTTTATCTTTTTTAAGGCTGGTATTTCTCATGATATGTTATCTTTGGATGGCTTCTGTCATTGGTTCATAATCAGGGATGATTTTGCCCTCAGGGAGCGATTTGTGTATATCTAGAGACATGTTTGATGGTTGTACCGTGGAATACAGTGTGTGTTACCAGCATCCAGTCAGTCGATGCCAAGGTCATTGCCCACTCAGCATCATACAGGGCACAGGACAGTACACGCCCACAAACAAAATATGACCTAGTCCCAAATGTCGGCAATACTCAGATGCAGAAAAGCCTGCTCTCTGCATTTATTGAGGACCAGGAGAAATTTTGTCTTCATTCAGGCTTATAGAATCAGTTTTTCTGTGTAGAAGACTGAAGAATCTGCATGTAAAGAAATTCTAGGTGCTACTTGATTCTAGGAGAGGCTTATTAATTTAGAAGACTTAATCTGTAAAATGACCTGTTATACTGATTTTAAGAACAAAATAATCTTCTATGGTGATGCTGGGAGGGGGTGGGGAAGTGGCAGTAATGTTAGAGCAGAGAATCTTCAAAGAACTGTAAAGACAAATCCTTTTCCAAGTTTCTAATTGAAATTCTGTTACTCCATGCAAACTCTTTAAGGATGTTTTCCAAAATTTTGATTATATACCTTAATCCATCCTCAAAGAAATTTTGTATTCTGAAAATGTATTTTAAGTATTTAAGGAGACAAATATAGAAGAGGGATCTTAAAAGCATGAGGCAATGAATAGGATTGAAATACTTCCTTCTGCCACAGCAGTCAGGATTCTTGCTGTTCTGTACATCTCTTTGAGGACCTAGTGTGTGGCAAGACAAAGAAAACAGATCTCAATGTTCACATGAATTCTTTTCATTTATATGTTGGCCTTTTGGAATCAAGATTATGCTTTTTCCTAAAACTTGTGATAGATTATATCTAGTTCTATAATAAATCTCTAAAGATTGTTGGAATTACATTTTGTTAAAATTTTCATGCTTTTAATGATCAGTCCCAGATAATGTCCTAGTAGCTTAGAACACTTTTTGTATGCAGGTGCTTGAGGAAACATAGGCT